CTCTTCCGTAAGTCTGTCCAACTCCCTTTTAAAGCCATCCAGATGGGTGGCCTTCACCACTTTCCATGTTAGTAAATTCCATAGGTTAACTATACATTGTGTGAAGAAGTCTGTCCTTTTATCTGTCCTAAACCTCCCACCAAGCAGCTTCATGGGATGATCCTGGGTTTTAGTGTTATGGGAGAGAGAGAAAAATCTCTCCCCCTCCACTTTCTGCACACCATTATTTTAAACACCTCTATCATTTCTCACTTTTTCCCCTAAGTTAACCCATCACAGTTAGTGTAGCTGCTTTTCACAGGGGAGTTACTGCAGCCCACTGATCAATTTTGTTGCCCTTCTCTGTACTTTTCCCAACTCAGTAATGTCCTTTTTCAGGTAAGGTGACTAGAACTGAACACAATATTCCAGATACAGTTTCATCAGAGCTTTGTATACAGGAAGAAATATTTTGGCAGTTCCATTTTCCATTCCATTCGAATTATGCCTAGCATGAAGTTTGCCTTTTTCACAGCAGCTCTGCTCTGGTTCAACATTTTCATTGAGTTGTTCACCACAGCCCCAAGATCCCTTTCTTGCTCAGTCACCGCTAGCTCAGATCCCGTCAGCCTATACTTGAAGTCTGGATTTTTTCCCCCACATGCATAAGCTTACACTTGATTACATTGACCTACACTTGCCATTTTGATGCCCACTCTCCTGGCTTGGAGAGAACCCTCTGGAGCCCCTCACAATCCATTTTGGTTTTAACCACTTCTAATAGTCATTCTGATACAGGACACTCAATCAGTGAGAGTCTTCTATTGCAAGTAATTTTGTGGCAAAAACATAGTCTTCAAATCTATATGCAGTGGGGATCAGTTGCTATAGGCTTTGACATTTCAAGCTAGCAACTACAGATCAGAGACTCAGACAATGGTTTACTGGTTATCATCTCTGTGCCATAGGGACTACAGATTAGGGCCAAATGTTTCCTGAGGGCTTCTAGCTCTAGCAATCAAGATTGAGGGTTCAAGGGAAAGACCTGACCTAAATTGCACACCCTCAGGGATCAGTACCAACCTTGAATCCTGTGTTGGATCCTTTATTAGTACAGCTTAACAATCCAAGAGATCAAACCATGCTAATAATGAGCCCATGAAAGTTTCCTCACACAGGAATCTTGATGTCCAAGCCCCCAGTTTTGGATCATGAAATTTTTGGCTATGGGTAGTATGGAAATGTAATTAATGATAATAATACAGACAGTGGCACAATTAGATAATTTGAGATCTTGCACTTAAGGTCATATTGAGGGGCAGGGCTGGGAAGGGCTTTAGATGGCCTTCAGTTGTGAAGCACACAACTAACAATTGCCTCGTCTCCCAGCTGCCATTTCATATTTTAAATGGCATCTGCATTCCTGCCATGTTAGAATGATAGTTTGCCACCCTTGGATTTAAAGTAAATAATATTCTGAGTATGTACAATTTTGCATTTAAAATTCACTTAAATCATAGCACCGGCATGACCAGAGGAATAAAAGAGAGTTTTGCTTCTGCATCTGCCACTTTCAGTTAGGTGGGCTGAGCTTTGGGGCCTTGAACTTTGACCCTCAGACCCCTACTTTTTTCCATAGTTGCAATGTGATTGGAAAGTGTTCTGGTCAGAGGGGAAAGCTTCTAAGTCTCAAGATGTGAATAGGCTGAAATTGTATCTGTTAAAATTGCCTTGGCTGCAGTTGAGGTTTGGCTAATGCAGACACTTAAACTGCTGATTTGAAAAGGACCTGTTATTCTGAACCATCATGTCCTCTTTCCCTCTTTTTCACACATAACTAATAATGGGTATATTTCTCTTAACTAATAAGGGGCAATGAGATTCTGTCATTTTATTCACATAAATTGGGAGTGTGTCTCTGTTACAAAGTAGCAAAGAAGCCAGTGGAGAGGCACTGTCAAGCCCTTTCTCTATTATATCTTGCAAAACATACTTCTTGTGTAACGGCGAGTCCTTCTGGGTTAAACTGCCTCCTCCACCCTGTGTTCTGGGCAGAGGAAGCAGGTATGGTAACAAAGGCAGCTGCAGAACACAAATGATCAAAATGGTTAGGTGGCTGCCCACCTGCAAATACCTCCCTCCCTTCTCTTGGTCCTGAGAGTGCAGAGAGGGTGAGTTGTGCAGCCGTCTCAACTTCAGGTGCCTTGGTTATTGGGAAACCTTCTGTGGAAGTTCCTACAGCGACCTTCCTCAACCTGGTGCCTTTCACAGATGTTTTTGGTCATAGCAAGGATGCAAATCCAATGGCCTTCTGTGTGGTAGCCTATTTCTTGGGCTGGAGCAGATAAAAACCCCATCTCACCGACCCTCTAGAAGCACCTGAGAGTGCGTACATTGAACCATTTACTTTGTACTGGTTACTGATTTTGGTTTTGCCTGGAGGGATTCACTGCAAAGCAAAGGCACCTTATTTTAGGTTTAGTTTCAGTCCTTGGTCCCTGGGAAGACAATCTCTGAACCTCCCCCTCTCCCTTCTCAGTTGGTCATATTTCATTTGACCTCCCTCTGTGGAATGGATCAGTATAATTTCAATATGCATTGTTTGATGGTGCAGGGACAGTTTCTCCAAGATGCCAAAAATAAAGGGGGAGTGCAATCGTATTATCCTGGGTGAATGTGTCATGGGATTCCTCAGAGTCCCCCTTTTGTGGGGCCTTGGAAGCAGGACTCTCCTATGCAGTCTTGCCCTTCTCCCCTGCTGCCTCAAAGCTGCTGTGAAAGAAACCAGGCTGACCTTTCCTGAGGTTGCAAAAGTGGCTTTGGAGACTGGGTGAGAGGCTGGGAAAGGAGAGACCGGATATGAGAAATTTTGTGGTCTCTCTGGCTTCAGGCTCTCCTCTGCCAGTGTGACCTCATTGGAGGTCTCAGAGGCCCAGCTCAGGGCTGGTGGGCTTGGGAGAACTCCTGCCCTGCTGGCAGTGGCTCAGTGAGCTAAACAGGATATAGGAAGTCTCCCAGAGTAGAGGCTTCCACCTCTTGGGGATGGAAACCGCAGGCCTGAGACCACTGCTTGCTTCCTGTGATCATCACCAAAAGTCTAAAGATGATGACGCTAAGAATGATGCCTGCTCCAGACCTTTGCTGAATTAGATAATTTATCACCCTAAGATTAATTGCACTTAATTATATTGTCAGAATGAGTAACTTCTCTGTACACTGTACAATTGGTACAAATTTACACCTGTCTCATCTAGTTGATGGCTACCCCATTCCTAATCAGACTGTTTTTCACTCTTCTTGCTTATATGGTTTCAATTTTTCTTCTCAGTGAAATATTTCTTCAAAGCATCTCTATTCCAACATCATGGAGGTTGAAACTATGTCCATGGGTCTCATTTGCTCATGCATAAGCAGATTCCAAACCGATGAGGTTTCCTTGGGCAGCTCACTCCCCACCTTTTTGCTTTACTTTCTCTCCCATTAGAACACAAGCTGAGCTACAGCCGAAGCTTGGAGTCCATCTAATTTAATCAGGAAGTTCAAGGGCGCGGTATAATAAAATTGTGTGAGCTGAAGCATTGAACAAAAATAAGCAAAAAACAAGGTTTCAAACTCAGCACTGTTCATTATATCAATTTTTCAATTTCTGTTGAACTCCCAACACTTCGAGAGCTCCAGGAAGCCTCTTTGATTAATTCCTCTGGTGCAAGAAACATACAATCTGAGACACTTTCTGTAGGGTGGATAGGGAAGGCAGTGGTCTCATGGTAAGAATTTTGTAGCTCGTGAAGCAGCCTTTATATTAGCTGGAATTATGGATTGCACTCAGCCCTGCTAGCTCCATGTACATTAAAATATGGCATGTAGCGCTTCATTGGTACAGCAAGTTCTAATTTTAAAAAATCCTCTTGATGTTATACACTGTTGCATTTGCCGCACCCACTCCTTGGTTTTGTATAAGAGGGAGTGTATCTGATCAATTGTTTTTCTTGACTAAACTTACGATTTTAAGAGGGCTAAAAAGGATGCTCAGCAAATTAGTTGAAAGATGTTGGTTTATAAATAAATAGAACACACATTTTCCTGAAAAAGTACATCCAGTTGCTTTAGTTGCTCTTGGTTTACCTCTTTTTAAATATAGTATTTGTTAATTTTTGCCCAAAGTATGGTTTGCTTTAATATTTTAATAATAACCTATTTTAAAACATGTTTGTTTGTCTTTATTTTATCTGAACCATAGCCTTCTACCAAGAAAATGGCATTCAAGTCAACTTAGAGTCAAAGGAACTAAGAACAAAATTAAAACAAGCTCATGATGGTCCCTTTGGGTTTTATTTGACTGATGTTTCTATTAAACAGGATGTTTCTATTAAAATCAAATCCCACAAATTAGTCATTCTTGTAAGGGAACATGTCTGATTATTTTCTTATTACAGTTTGCTAATAACTTTCCAAGTTCTGCCTTACATAGTATAAAAACTGCTACAGGGGCATGGTATCTATTTTTGATTAGCAGTGGAAAAGCTTGTGTTTCAGGTCATAGAAATAGTATTCTTTCATTTCATTTGTTTAAGACAGTATTCTCCTTTCTTATTTTTAAAAAGTCTGCACTTTTGCCATTTAACTCAAACAAAGGTTATCACTTCATGTGCAGTGGACTCCAGTTAATGAAACATCACTACGACCCAACTAGAAATTGCAGAAAGTGGCCTAAGTTAGAAGGCTTCCAGGTCTGGGTACTGAGTTGTTTGCCTGTTCTGGATGGGGTTGTGCTCTCTCTGAAGAATCGTGCTTGTAGTCTGTCGGTGCTCTTGGATCCACCCTTGTCACTGGAGGCCCAGGCAATCTGAGTGGCTTGAAGTGCCTATTAACACCTAGAGGCCCAGATGACTTGAAGTGATTGGAGTGCCCATTAGGTTGATGTGACCATTCCTATATGCTGGGTCCATTTCTATAAACATATAGCTTAACCACTGCAGTTCATGCACTAGTAATGGAAATGCAGTCTATGTGGATCCGTCATGCCTGGTTCAGAAGCTGCAGCTAGTACACGTTATACCTGTCTTAAAAGAAGCACACTGATTGCTTGTCAGGTAGTGAATCCTGTTCGTGGTTTTGTGGTTGATCTACAAAGCATAGATAACTGAAGATGAGGATATCTAGCAGGCCTATATATCGCCAGTCAACCTCTAAGACCTTGGGTGGGGCAGTGGAGGAGCTTGTTCATCATTCCATGAGTAACAGGATGTTGCTATATAACATATTAAAAGGGGGGCTTCCACTTCCCTGAAGTAGTGCCCACCTTCTGGAACACCCTCCCTAGTGCAACTTGGGAGACAGAAAATGTGTTTTAAATTTATCCTGAAAATGACATCCTGGTTTATACAAGCTTTTCCTGGTGTATAATTATGATGCTGTTTATTGTTTCTCCTTAACTTTTGTTGAATGTCAAAATGTTACATTACATTTGTATTTTTAACTGTGATTCTCATTTTGTGTATTCACACACTTAGAGATTTTAGGGCATATTCCAATGCATATATAGAAGAACAGAGCTAAATCTCTTCCTGTTCCTTGACCAGTAAGTCCCAGTGCTCTGTATAGACATGCTTTGGATTGCACCCTTATTGTATTAAATGGTGCATATGTACTGGTGCTAATGATTATATGCTTAAAAACTAGAAATGCTTTGTGTGAAATTTGCTGGACTCTGCAGTGCGAATATTTCCTGAAACATACGTTGTGGAACATGCATTTGGTCTTGAGTCCATATACTAGTCACTAGAAATCTGGATAGTTTTCATCATTGGAGAGTTCAGTATCCCTCACTATTCATAATTGCAGTGCTGGGTTTTCCAAAGAGCATAGTCTTCAATGGGACACTGTTCAAATGTCGGACATTTCCCCGTTCTAGCCATTTATCTGTGACTTTGCACTTCAGATGGCATTGCATTTTCAAGATTCCCCCCCCCCACCCCAAATCACAGGTTGGCTGGCCAAAATCTTGGGAATCATTCATTTCTTACAAATGTTTATTCTTTAATCTCCTTTCTACTATTGGAACACTTAGAATCCATTATACAGTCACAAAAACCTAGTGGCTTGATTTTCTTGTAAGACGAGAAACATGGATTATTGCACATCAGATAGCCCACAGTGGCTGGGTTCAGACTGTACAACACATGCTCCAGCGCTGAGTGTAGGTCAAGTGTGGATTGCCACTGGACTGGGTTATTGTGTCATCTGAACCCGCTGTGTTAACAAGGCATGATTGTTAAGCATCAACAAAAAATGAAGAGAACCTATGTTTTATTGGGCTGTGAATGATGGGTTCTAACCAAACAGTAATTTGTTAGTGTAGCTGCATTCAAGCAACACAATAGACCATGGTTCAAGCATAAGCCACATTTAACTGTTATGATGGTCGATTATTGTGTCACCTGAACCCAGTTAGTATGGGCAAATTGAGCTAAAGGCAGTTATACCAAGAATAATGCATAGGTTTAGATGAATAGGCAGGCTGCAGTGATTTAACACTGACCCATGTCAATGCCCTCAAATGAGAAGTACAAGTATACATTTCTAAAAGAACTAAGCACCGCCCAGATTTGATACATAAGTTTGCCTATAGTGAATTTTAATTCTCAGGTTGGATCTCTGGTTGAAAACCATGTGCCAGCAAGAGTTATGTTGCCAAGAATTCGAGTCAGACCATGGTGCTTTGCATTAACAAGATAAAGGCAGTGATTACCATTAAAAACTACACAAATAAAGGCAGTTGATAAATGTTCATGTTGTGTTTAGGCAAGTTGGTTGCACTCCTTTTTAGGATTCCCTGAGAGCATCTTTGTGATTGAACATAATGGCTTATAATGTCATTGACTTGTTTGTCACAGAAAGGCAGTCCCTCCACCCTGTCTTTTCTCCATTAGAAGCCCAGATAGATGCTGCTTTTCTTCTGCTTTTTTCTTCCTCCATTGCTGACTTGTGTGGAAAATACAGTAATACACAGCAGAAATAGGTCCTTCTGCACTCATGCTCTTAGCTCAGCTTCGTTATACAATGCCATTTCATTAATGTCCAGTTTGTCATGTAGTATACTCCTCTAACCAAAGGAATTGAATATTTATGCATCCTTAAAAAATTAAAAATCTTGTTGAAACATAGAATTACTAAAAGTCTGCAAGAAGGAGAAACTTCAGAGCCACTTTGGGTTCCTTGCAAGAGGTAAAAGGGTGGGATAGAAATGCAATTTAATAATAAGAACCCTTCAGTATTGCAGAATAGGACTAAAACTGCTATAGTGAATGTCCCAAATAAAAGGGGGTATTGAAAATACTTTCTATATATGATTAAAATTACACACTTAACTAGGCAGTAGAATACCTGGGGACTCGCAGCTGTGAAGGGTTGGGCTGCATGGATGAAATTCCAGCTGTGTATATTTGTACTTAGTACATGTATAGCCTTCTTTGAATACAATTTCTGTAAAAGGGTCCCCGTATTGCAATACTTTGCCGCAATGAGATAAATGTTATATTAGTGGCCATTTTCCTTGCTTTTTAAAATTTTGTTGAGTAAGATGCAACTGTTTTAAAAAGAAATATTTTATTCTGCCTTTATATCCTTGCAAACCTTTAAGGGAGCTAACAGTGAATTAGTCATCACAAATTCGATTATAAATATTTATACTTGACCGAAATAGCATACCAATCAGCATAATCTGAAAAGAGAAGTGCCAAACTAGAAACAATTCCCAGTCAGAAAAGTAAGCAGTTGATCAAGTTCAGAGTCAACTATAATAACATTAAAAAACTTTGTATCTGAAGGGAGGTGGAAAAGAGGACACCTGAATATTCTAGAGCAAGCAATGCCATAAAACAGGTACCACCACTGAGAAGGCCATGTCCTGTATATCCAGCTACCATATTTCAACTGATGTACTTTTCCTGAACACAACCACATTTTTTGCAAGGGGATGTACATTCTTGATATTGACTTCCTTCTGCATTTATTGGGTCATTCCAGTGGTGGTTTTGCACCAGTGGAAAGGACTTCAGCTTTCAGAAAGCAGGTCATCTAATTTCTTTGATCCCCAGTATACTGCAGTCCTCTGCACCATATCTCATGCTGTTCTACAGGTTTTGCAAATGCTCTAGAGCAGCTTTTCAAAAGAGGTAGTGAGGCTGCAGTGTGTAGAAAGGATAGACAAACAGCAGATGCTCTGCTTTGCACAAGTGGAAGTGCCTTCCATTAATGCAGATCACCATTTTGCCCCCATTATACATACAACCTATCATTTATTTAAATACTCTTCAATCATCATAGGGATGCAGGTGGCGCAGTGGTTTAAACTGCTGTGCTGGTTGAATGAAAGGTTGCCGGTTCGAATCTGCACAATGGAGTGAGTTCCCATTGCTCTGTCCCAGCTCCTGCCAACCTTGCAGTTCGAAAGCATGCAAATGCAAGTAGATGAAAAGGTACCATTTTGGTGGGCAGGTAACAGCGTTCCATGTACTTCGGTGTTTAGTCATGCCGGCCACATGCCCACGGAGACTGTCTGCGGACAAACGCTGGCTCCCTCGGCTAGGAAACGGAGATGAGCACCGCCCCCAGAGGCAGGCATGACTGGACTTAACATCAAGGGGAAACCTTTACCTTTACCTTTACCTTTACAGTCATCACAGCATGTTAGAATTATGTAGGCACAAATGATGAGGATCTGCCTTTAATTATCATAAGCCCTAATTTCTTTTGTTAGTAAACAATTGGGGAAGAGAAAGCAAGGAGTGGAAGATAATGATGAGAAATAAACTAGTATGTTGCATGTACTTCAAGTTGGTCATGTTTGAACTGAAGGAATTATACTAAAGGCTTCCTGGAAAGTTAAGACTGGGGAAGGGATCCAGTTTAGGTGTACATCAATCTTCCCCAACCTGGTGCCTTCTACCTGTGTTGGACTGGAATTCCCATCAACCTGGGGCTGATGGGAGTGGGCCAGTATATCTGGGAGGTGTCTGGTTGAGGAAGGCTCTCGGAGATTTAGGTATCCACACAGAAAACATACATGTGTAACATATATTTAAAGAACTGTGGGGATTTTATTGTTCCAAATACCCTAGTTTCTCCTCCTGCTCCTTTTCTGCCAAAGGAAAAGTATGGCTATGCAAATAGATTACATTGCCACACACAACTTTCCGGTTCAAGCAGCTAGGGCTGTTAATCCTGCTTGGGGATATGTACTAGTACCATCAAGGATGGCGGGGAGACACTTCAGCGGCTTAGTGCTAGATTCTGCACAATTAGGTTCTTGTTGGTGGTTTTATGACTCCTCCTCAAGCATCCAGCCTAGACTACTCTCTGTGCAAGGAAGACGGTTTAGCTGGACCATTAGTTATTGAAAGGATGGTAAATTTTTAAGGTCATAATTTAGTTTTATAGAAGTTTGTTTTAGAAGGTACATGAGAAAAAGACAGCAAAATATACCAAAATGTGATCATTCCTACCATTTCTTTCTTGGGAACTGGAGAGCTGTAAAAATGTCCAACAGTCTAGTGCATTTTCTTTAAAATATTTTCCTAATTTCAAATATCCCCAGATAATCATCCCCTTATGCAGTGATGAATACATTGCAGAATAAGACATTGAAACATTCCTTGCTTTGTATAAAAGGTATGCTGCTATTCTGGACCACTCTTCTTGAGAAAACTCTGCTTGTTTTTGTTCTAAAATACTTTAGAGGATGGGGAGGCAGTGCATTCCCTGGGCAATTTTGTAGGATCCATTGCCCTGTTTCTGTGCTGCATAGTTTCCTGCTGAAATTTCCTGCATGGTTGAGAAAGATATGCAGATTTCCCATCAGAACAGGAAGCGTACACCTTGTTTCGAAGCAAAAGCGTGCTTTGCTTTAAAACAAGGCTTACTGTTCCTATAACCTTGTTTTAAAGAGACAGGAGCATTATCCCCATGCCTAGAGACATTCTCCGCCACCGATATCAATGGCAATTTTGGCAGCATGGCAGCTGCGTGTGCTCTCTAGCAGGCTTCAGGCAGTGTGAATTGTCCAGAGACTCCCCCAGAAGCCACTCACCCTTGCTTTTGATTGTGTAGTCTGCATTTAATATTTTATGCCTCACTTACATGTTTCTTTGAAAGCTGGTACATCAGAAAATAGGCAGTATCTAGGGGCTGAACCAAACTTTTAAAGAGTTTAGGTTTTACTTCTTTGTTAAGTAATACTTTTTTGGGGGGGATGGCTTTTAAAGGGCCCTTGTTTCCCTGCAAGTTCTAAATGCTGGAAGAGTTTTGCAAGACTCTTCTCCCTCCCAATGGCCTTTTACATGTTTGAGCAGCCTGGAGTGTGCCCTGTGCTAGCTCAGAGAAACTTGCCTTGGGAGCAAGACAGCTGTGCAATCTCTGAGCTTGCTGAACGGTTCCCTGGAAAAGTCCTCCACCACAGTGAGCCAAGACTTAGGAAGACTTCCTTCATGTGCGCTCTATAAGGCTTGCTACCTGGAGGCAGCATATAAATCTGTGCCAACTATAGGGAGGGCTTCTAAAAGGACCCAGCTGAAACCTCAAGTTCATTGGAAAAGGGGAACCTCCCTGAGCTTCATCACTCAAAATCTGGAATTGCACAGTGGGAAGATTAAGACAGAAACACTTGATCCTACTCTAATATCAGCCTTCCTGAAATGTCTCTTAAGTGCTAGTAATGCCCATGAATCTGGCTAGTGACTAATAATGAAAGCTTGTCCTCGGCCTTGCTTTATCCCCTCTGGTTTTTCCCCCTTTTTCTTAACTTACATCATTACAACATGCCTCCTTCTTCCAGCTCCAGCGTACACATATGTATATCTTGTCAGCAGTCTAGCATTGTGTTAGAGGAGTGTAGTCCTGTTTTCAGTTGAGCCGATAGAGATGACTCTAAGCTGGGACCAGTAGGACAGTTGCTAAAGTTCTGGGGTGGAGGCAAGGTGGAAAATTGTAAAGTTGTAAAGATTCTGAATTGATGCAAGGACTTGGCGCTGACAGAGGAATGTTTTAGTAGCAGAATGCTGTAGAGCTGTCCAGTCTCCCAGGTGCTGAAGAAATTTGTCTTTGCACCAGCAACAGAGTGCTACAGCTGGAACCGTTTTAGCTCTGGGAACAAGAGACCCCTGTGTTGACTTTCTCTTCATGTGCAGTGGCTTGCTTCTTTGGAGGTGTGCTCCATGAAGTTTCCATATGCTGCCTTGTCTGGACAGGACTTCAACAAGAGGGCTTTACCTTTACTGCTTTTAGCACAGAAGGCCCAATCAGGGCTTGTGACTCTCTGTGTCTGGCAATGGAGATGACCTCAATATCTGGGGTCGGCGATAACCAGTAATCTTGGATGAAGACCAAGGCACCTTTGCCTAGGATCAGTGCTGTGGGATGGGTAAGGCTGATGTCAGTATGTCTAGCTTAAGCATAACTAACAAGAAATAATGCAAGAAGCAGCAAAACATTAAAAGTTATTTTGGGAAAGGCTAACATGGACGCAGGTCAAGAAAAGTATCTTCTCATGTTAAAAGCAGAAAAGAGGTGGTACATAGAAGGGATCTCTCTATCAAAATTAGAAAACATTTTGGGGAATTTCTGTATCCTGTTTGCCTATTTGCCCCAGGGCAGTTGTATGCTTCTGATTTATGTTAATTAATAATTCTGTAGCTACTTTGGATAGTTGACCTCCTTAATGCATTTTAATGCAGTGGGGGAAAAATCTGAAGAATTTGATTCACAAGATGTAATTTTCTTTCCTTCTAGAGACCACACTCTTCACTTCCTTCAATAAAACAAAACTGGGAAGAATATCGGCTTCAGTGTTTGAAATACCTCCATGAAACACCCCCTCTTCTGGCAGGTAAGGTTGCTTAGTCACAAATAAATATCCCATCCAAATACTGCTGCAGTTCTTGCAAATGGCCTTCTGCTCTCTCTCCCCCCCCCCCCACCCCACAACACTCCCAGTTAATCAGCCTGGCCTGCAGAATGAAGGTGGGTCATAGTTCATATTTAGTTCAAGGCCAGTTACAGTGCAATGAAAGCATTCTGCTATGTTTTAGAATGTGGCTCACTTTGTTACTCATGTAGAGATGTACAAGTATAGCAGGTCTTCTTCATTTTACCTTGCAATGCCCAATGAGACTTTCTTTTCTAGATTTTCTTGCTCTCTAAATGTAGAAGGACAAATATCAAGCTTAGAGTAGTATTTTATACCTTAAAAATACTTCTTGCTCTTGCATCCATGGAATGCATTCAGAACAGCTTACAATAAAATCTAAAAAATCTAAAATTGAACCTACAGGACCATAAACCTATGATATCAAGGCAATATGGTGCTAGGAATACTTTAATCTATTCAGTTAGAAATGCTTGAAGGAAGAAACATATTCACAAACTTCCTAAAACAACAAGGGACTGGACCTGGCAGACCTCTGTCAAAAAAAGTCCCAAATTATGACACTGTGGCTAAAGATTTCTCTGAAGATTTGGCTATCAATATAAACTTCATCGAAGGAGGCTTGTGGGACAGGGCCACATTGGATTATGTTAAAGGTATGTATGTCACAGCAGAACAAGGTATTCTTAATGGCAAGAGAGGTTTCTGCCAGTAGGTCTTGAGTTGCAGAGTGATTGCGGCACTATGAGAGAAGAAGCTTAGCCATGTAGTCCAGTCTTGCATAAGGGGCAAAATAGAAACTTGGGCCTATTTTAGATAGCAAACTTCCATAGGGGAAAACTCCCTCTTGTCCTGTGCCATGACCCCAGTGCAATTTGGCTTTGGTTTTTAAAGAAATACAAAGAGATGGGAGATCAGACTACAGATCTCTAGCATTGCCCTAAGAAACTGTGCACCTGGATTTCTTGGATCCAGTTTTAAAGTTAAAATCCAACAACTTTAATTGTGTCCAGAAATTAACTCATTAGCACTGAAGCCCTACTGCCTTGTTCCAGATTAAGCCTAGCAAAATCTACAGCATGCTGTACCAGTTAACAGTTTCTGAGTAGTGTAGGACACTGTAAAGCACAGTGCTGTGAACAGTCCTAAGAAATAAAAGCTCTTCAGGTAAAAGCAAACAGCTAGTAAAGCCATGTATGTGCATCTCATAACCCTGGCCACTTTCTATGGAGGACAAAGTCAGTTCGCTAGCACTCCCAGACCATCTGCCAGGGTTTTTCTGCTGCTGCTGCTTCCTTCTGCTTTTCTGGAACAAGCAATCACCTGTTCCTAGATACACAGACTCTGATCATCAGTGCATTTCTTAAGGTGCTGAAGCTAAATTGTTTGCCTTTATCTGGGCCATAATATTTCTTTGCATGTGCTTAGAGATCCCATCACCAGTTTGTCAAATCACTGGGAAGAATTTTAACAGAGTTTTCACTCCTTCTATTGCCCCCCAGCATAGATTAATTACAGTCATGGATCAATTACACAGTTTCAATTCCTGAAGCAATTCTTTAAAAAATCAGCTATATTAGATAATGTCTGGAGGTGAACAATTATATCGGCTTTGGTCTGCTTCCCCAAGATCTGGGACAGGCACAAAATTACTAATTACTGAAAGATGAGGAAATCTTCTTTAAAAGTTGTTTTAACTACTTCCTCCTTCAAGGGGCAAGGCAAATATTTATTCCCTCCCTTGCCAGTACACCCAGTCTTGCTCGGAGAGATGATAGATAAGAGTTAAACAAGAATATGGTAGGTGTTTCTCTCCCAACATTCTGTGTTTACTGTTTGGTAATTGCAACAATGCACTCAATTTTTAAAAAAGATGAGGCATGCAATTTAATCCACACTTAGGAATTCTTAGGGAATTCTTTCTCCCTGTGTGTTCTTTCCCTGGCTAGCAGAATGCCTAAACAGAGCTCTAATAACAAAACAAAGTACCTGAAGATAGTAATTAACTGTTGGACACACTTGCTTATGTCTACCACTGACAAAGCATGACAAAATGCTTTTTCATTTATCTTAAAATATTGGCTCAGTTTGGCTAGAGGAAGACATCAATAGCTGATTGAAAAGAATAGAACTGTGGCTATTCCGCTGTCTTATCAGCCTCTCGTGAGTCTTCTAGTAATTCGGAAAGGAAAGTCTTTGGCATCTGAACAGATGTTCTGATCCTAATCCAATGGAAACGGTAGGACTTGATAAATTTCTGAAACAGCATGATTCTGTTTAGAAACCATCCCATTGCTACCTCTCAGATTTGTATAGTTGACATTGAGAATTAGACGAGCTGATAGCAATAATAGCAAGAAGGTATTAATCTCTCTTTGCACTGTTGAACAGCTAATGCCATACTCCTGGACTGACATTTTAATAAATCTGGTTGAGGTGTTAGCACATTGAATAAGCTTTAATGCTGACTGGTGGGGATATTTCAGGATGTATGTGGGGCTGTTTCAGCAATGCATCAATGTATGTAGCTTACACTTTGAAACAGCCTGACAGCAGAACATTTGTCTGGAGGAAAATGCTTAAAGTGTTCTGAATAATGGAATGAATTAGCAAGGGCAATGCTGGAAATGAGTGTGTTGCCATGAACAAGGGGATCTGGATACCATCAAGGGTGATGCTTCTCCATTGACTAAACTGACAGCCACACTGACAACCTTTTCCGTTGAAGTCAGGGCCATAGCAAGTTGCTGCATGTTGACTGAAGCCAGTGGAGAACCGCTGAGGTTATGTTCTGCCAGAAAGCCAGGACAATTGAAATAGGCGATGAAACATGTTCACGTTACACTGAGGGTTCAGAATGACTCAGGGCACGATCTGGAAGTTGTCTGGGAACTTCCTCCACACTGCCTTGTGTTTCATGATAGAAGGAAGGGCAAGCTAGAAATGCATTAATCAAATAAAAACTTAAATAAAATGGCCAGGCTGTTCCTACACCAGACAGTTTTTGTGGGAATTCTGCTAACAAATACTGTGATCAGGTCTTGCAATTTGTGATTAATTAATATTTTTTTTTGTATTTAATTTGTACTTAGTTTTTCTGCAGATAAGCAGTTATTACTGCCTAAGAGTTGTTCGTTTGACTCTTTTGATATGATGTAAGCTGCTAGAATGGTGAGGCAGACGTACCCCATCCATGTGTCTGACTTTATCAAAGATGGGTATTTCCCAGGACAACCTCACTGAGTTCTAAATTCTCACCACACGGGGTTCGATCAAGCCGTTGAACAAAGCTCTTGAATCATTTTGTCAAATCATGGAGTTATATTTCCCACCATTCCTTTTTGGCATTAAATTTTCTCCTGTCCAGATTTTTATTATGTTATCTCAATAGCATTTCATAGAGCCACTTCTTTATTTTTGGCTAACTGCTCTTAAAATATTCTCTGTCTACAGAAGGCAAATTCTGCAACAGGACATTTGATGGATCCGTATGTTGGCCTGATGGTATGCCTGGCACCTATGTGAATATGAGCTGTCCTTGGTATTTCCCATCAGCTCACTCAGGTAAGTATGTCAGGAGCATGTCTATTCTGTTCAGGGTTTATCCTGATGTTCATCTGCTAAACATCCCACATGCATGCTATTCCTTCCAGACCAGTCTGCTAAACTTCCTGAAGGTCTAGTTCTTATATGGTAACCAGCCTGCATCTGAACTGAACTGTGCAGATTTGGGGCAGTAGCCCGTGCTGCCCACATGCTAGTAGGACCGAACACCAATATAGCGAGAAGATAGCAAATATGGAAATAAGTACTCATTTCTGGAAGGGCAGGTCAGTGGTGCATGCTGAAGGGAACGTGTATCCCAGTCTGAAAATAACAGTTTCCTCTCGTTTCTTTAAGAAGGGTTACTTTAAGAAGTGTTAGCTCCTGTTATGTTGGTGATATATCCTACGAGCCGAAATAATATTTTAAGAAGATTTTCACATAAGCATTGTTTAAGATTTGTGTCTAGAACTTGTGAAATCAAGCAAAAGACTGAGAAACTCATATTCACTGTTTATCTCATATGTTTTGAATTTTCTATTATTTTTCTTGCTAAGAGCCCTTGCAGAATAAGGACTTGGTGGGGCAGTTGCCATGTGGCCACAGATGCTGCAGTGACAGTAACCCAAATCGTACTAACCATGGATACTGGCACTGTGTGTCAGTCATGAAGTCTTAATTCATGTGTTGCTTTTTGCTATGGCAGTGCCTTACTATATTTTAGGACTGGAGTCTTCTTTGAAATCTCTGTTGCTGTACTGGGGCTTGTAGGTAGGAAAGAAACTACCATTGAAAGGCTAGAATGCCCTTGTTGAAAGGGCCAAATGCTAACTGATTTGCTGATTGGTTCAGAACTGCCTGTAAATTTAACTCATGACATCCCTTTAAGATAAATGTTTTTGGCATATTACATTTTGACATAGAACTCTGTCTAGGATGGATATTTTTTCTTCGTTCCTAGCCTACCTTTTTGAAATATATAAGTTTTATGTTATGTTTTCTGTTGATAGTGGCTATTATCATGGCATCATCTGAAAACTGAATTTACAGGCTCTTTATCTTTTTCTAGATAATTAATAAACATTTACACTCTTTAAAGCTGCTTTAACATTTGCTTGCATTTATGTGCAAAATGGTTGACTTCCCAATTAATTGGTATGAGGGCCCATCAAACATTTTGGAACACCTTCCAATAATTCTAATATTCTTTATCTAAGAACTTACATGCAGGATTAAAGGCCTTCTCTTCTGCAAACCTATATATTTTCCATTTTTAGGACTCTTTGGAAGTCATTTGGCTGCTAACAGCACTAAAAGTTATCACTGTAGGAGAGATCCAAGATTTACCATAATCCTGCTCCTTAATAAATAATTGGAATGTGCTGCTTCTTTCATGTACTTTTGCAAATAAGCAAAACCTGAATCATCCTAGGATACAGTACCATTTTCACTTAAAACAAATTAATGTTTAGAGTTCCACAGAGATTGTCATTAAAGGACTGCAAGCACTTTAGAAGCAAATTAAACCTTGTATTCTATTTTATCCTTCTTGCTATTGTATATCCTAATATTTCTTCATTGTCCTAATAGGCTTGGTGATGAACTGTGCCAGGGTAGATTTGATTTGATTTAAATTATGATCTAAATCACTAGTCAGTAAGGCTAGATTTAAATCATGGTTTTTCAATATAATTTGCATGTACGCCTGCCTTACCCATAAGTAGATGTTCATTAAAATATTTCCAAACTCGGTCTTTTTTATGGCCTGCTGCATTATAGGTTCTCTCCTCCAGGGAAAGAATAATATGAACGTGGACACACCCTGGACCTGGTTTTCTCGACGGGGCAGGAAGAGGGTGGTCTGAGGGTGAGGAATTTATGCCTGACACCCCTGTCATGGTCAGATCACTTCCTGGTGAGGTTTGTGCTCAAGAGCAGCCTTTCCCTCTGTAAGGGTGCGGACCCGATTGTGTGGGTCCGCCTTTGGAGCCGGATGGATCCGGATGGATTCCTGAAGACCCTGGGGGAGTTTCTGGCTGACAAGACTGGTGCTCCTGTCGAGGCTCTGGTCGAACTGTGGAATGGGGAGATGACCAGGGCTGTGGACACGATCGCTCCTAAGCGTCCTCTCCCGCCAGGCAGAGCCCACTCTTCCCCTTGGTATACACCTGAATTGCGGGCGATGAAGCAGGCTGGGAGACGGCTAGAGCGTAGGTGGAGGAAATCACGAGATGAATCTGACCAAACACACTTAAGAGCCCACTATCGGGCCTATGCTGTGGCGGTGAGGGCGGCGAAAGAGAAATTCTTCTCTGTTTCCATTGCCTCCTCAAAATGCCGTCCGGCGGAGCCTTTTCAAGTGGTACAAGGCCTGGTCTGCCCTGGCCCTAAGAAAGATCTGGTTCCACCCTCGAAGGCCCACTGTGACGACTTTGCCAAGCATTTCAGGGAGAAAATCACTCAGATTCGTCACGAGCTAGACTCTACTAGTGATTCAGAGGCTTCTGGGGAGATACCAATGTCGCTGTCTGGTCCAAAATTAATGGATGAATTTCAGTTAATGCGGCCTGATGATGTGGACAAGGTGCTTGGACGAGTATGTCCCACCACTTGCCTATTGGACCCTTGCCCGTCTTGGTTAATAAATAACGCCAAGCACGGGATTGGGATCTGGATCTTGGAAGTGGTTAATGCTTCTCTGAGGGAGGGTCGGGTACCTGCCCCTTTAAAGGAGACGGTAGTCCGACCGGTCCTGAAGAAAACTTCACTGGATCCAGAGATGGCCACTAATTATAGACCAGTGGCCAACATCCTGTTTCTGGGCAAGGTGTTGGAGCGGGTGGTGGCGGGACAACTCCAAGCACTCTTGGATGAAACTGATTATCTGGACCCATTTCAGTCCAGCTTCAGACCCGGGTACGGTACTGAATCTGCCTTGGTCGCCCTGTACGATGACCTGTGCAGGGAGAAGGACAGGGGGAGTGCATCCCTGTTGGTTCTTCTGGGCCTCTCAGCGGCTTTTGATACCATCGATCATGGTATCCTTCTGGATAGGCTAGCGGGAGTGGGGGTCGGAAGCACTGCTCTGCAGTGGTTCCGCTCTTATCTCAATGACCGTTTCCAGAAGGTGGTGCTGGGGGACTATGACTCTGCGCCATGGCAGCTATGCCATGGAGTACTGCAGGAGTCCATTTTGTCCCCTTTGCTGTTTAACATCTACATGAAACTGCTGGGAGAGGTCGTCAAGAGGTGTGGGCTGCGGAATCATCAGTACGCTGATGATACCCAGCTCTACCTCTCATTTTCCACCAATCCAGGTGAGGCAGTGGCTGTGCTGAACCGGTGCCTGGCTGAGGTAATGGGCTGGATGAGGGTCAATAAACTGAAGCTCAATCCAGACAAGACAGACTTCCTGTTAGTCGGCGGATCGGGCTTCGGTGAGGGTGAATTGAACCTAGTCCTGAATGGGGTTGCACTCCCTCTTAGGGACAAGGTCCGCAGCTTGGGAGTGCTCCTTGACCCAGAGCTTTCACTGGAAGCTCAGGTGACAGCAGTGGCGAGGAGCGCTTTCTTTCAGCTTCGGCTGATCCATCAGCTGCGCCCCTTCCTGGAGTATGACTGCCTGGCGACAGTGACACACGTGTTGGTGACTTCCCGCCTTGACTTCTGTAACACGCTCTACGTGGGGCTACCCTTGAAGACGGTCTGGATACTTCAATTGGTTCAAAATAGAGCTGCCAGGCTGCTGACGGGGACTGGGCGTTATGTTCACATGACTCCAGTCCTCCGTCAGCTTCACTGGCTTCCCACTGAAGTCTGTGCCCAATTCAAGGTGATGGTGATGACCTATAAAGCCCTAAACGGCTTGGGTTCTGGCTACCTGAAGGAGCACTTACGTCCATATATGCCCGCCCGCCCCCTGAGATCATTGGGAGAGGCCCTTCTTCGGGAACCTTCTGTGAAGGAAATTAGGAGGGTGAGTACCCGGAGGAGGGCTTTCTCTGCAGTGGCGCCCAGCCTATGGAATGCGCTCCCCAGAGAGGTCCGCCTGGCGCCGTCGTTATTTGTTTTTCGGCGCCAGGCAAAGACCTTTTTATTCAAGCGTCATTTTAATTGTTAATGGTATTTATTTTTATTCTTTGGCCAGGGGACTTATTTTATACTGTTATATGTGTTTTATATTGTTAATTTATGTATTTTAATTTATTTATTTGTAAGCCGCCCCGAGGCTTCGGCGAATGGGGCGGCCTAGAAATTTTCTAAAATAAATAAATAAATAAATAAATAAATAAATAAATAAATAATATGATAAACCTCGGGTGATACACAAAAAGTTCCAAAGACTTGTGGAGTAGTCTGCTCAAAAGGTTAATTTTTACTGCTTGCCCCTCTCTTCTCACACTTAGCTTCTTGTGCAGATCTATTCTATTACCAACAATTTTCTATTCATTTAATTTTTTTGAAACAGAACACTTAAAAGATAGTGGGTTGATTTGCAAAGATACAAAGGGATTAAGGTATTTTCCTCAACTTTGTTTATTTTATAACAATTTTGCTGAGAATAGGCATGTGATCTCTGCAGACACAAATTCACAGTTTTGAGAGCTTTAAAACCAAGGATCTGTGATAATATCTTCTAGACAGAAAAAACTGCCCAATAGTCTTACTGAAAACTTTGAAAGAACATGACATTGAATGGATTAATGGAATTCATTTACCAAAAAATTTAAATATTGCATAAATTCACAGCCTCATGCTACATAATTAAAAACTAATCCTTGTTTTGTGATGAATAACCTTTGGGCTTTTTCTGTCTTAAATAGAAAACTATCTTTAGATAGATTTTCCTTAAAAACATTAAAAAATCCTATTGAAATTAAAAAATCCTATTGAAATTAAAAAATCCTATTGTTTTAATTAAAAAATTTGGTTTTTATCTACCCTGAACTGTGGCCACTTGGCCTTCTCTATTATAAATTCTGTTCTCTTCCTTTTTAAAAATCTGTTTTTTCTAATTAAAA